ACAACGGCTATTCAGGACTACCGTCACAAAAAACGCACTCATTATCGTCGAATAAATCGCTCTAGTTTGTAAGAATGTAAGGCTTACATATGCTTAGGACCTCTGCAAGTTTGTGGTAAGCGGTAGAGTACTCCTACATAAATTGCAAAATATATTTGGATGACCGCGTCGTTCATCATAGCGAATGACTGGACAAAACCAGCTTACGTACACGGCTAGCATGTGGCTAGGGGTCCACGACGCCTGATCAACCAGCTTAACGAGCAAAGCATCCGTTCATCTATACCAGGAAGAGGCTGAACGTCAAAATCCTACGACACGAAAAATTGAACTTTATTTATCGTTTCGATTGCACGTCTGTCCTACCGGGAGGCGTATAGCTTAGTGGGTGCGCCATGTTCATTGAGCTATTGACGTCCGGAAACGCGAAAAAAGTACAAGTCAGGTTGTCGAAGTATCACTACGAGTCAGCCGGCTGACAAACAGGGGCAATACTTACTTTATAGATGAAGCACTTCAGTGGCTACAATCTCGTACAAGCTTTTTCACATAACACCATCTTCAACGGCTGATTCACATTGCGCGAGTACCTGTAGATTGTTGCTTACTAACTATGACCCTCAAGAAATACGAGGCCAACATGAAATGCATAAGGTCCCCCTAGGAGACGAACTGTTTGAAGCTGATGGGTTAAATGAAATCATCTTCGTCCCAATCATCTAGCTGGCACTCTACGGCTTTAGTCGTAGTAGTCAGATATTTACTCACTTCTCTCTATTAGCGCTTCCTTGGACCGGAAAATACGGACACAGATTCCTGGACATACTGTGCTGGGATCATGTGCTTCCGACAGGATCAACCTCATAAGACGCTTTTCTGAGGAGCGATTATCAAGCCCACCTTCACGTTTTCTATATGGGAAGGGGGCTAGGCGCCAAAAATAAATTAGTTCCCTGTGACTCACACCCGGGACAAGCCTGGAGAGCATCGCTGCTCAACGTGCGTGGTTCGTCAACACTACAGTCGGTGTGGTATGATACGCTGCATACAAGCGGTCACCGCTGGTGGTAAGCCGGTCATAAAGCACACAAAATCCAAGTCTGTCTCCAGACCGCCATCTGAGTTGGGGCCCAATGTCAGGATATCCGATGGCAGGCCGTCACTTACAGACCTTGAGACTTGGCACGGTAGGATTTGCCACTCAACAATCAACCGTTTAATGATGTTTATTGGTGGCTGTGGCCCTCCCGGGTCCCAGCCCCTGAAGTTGATCCAACACTCGCTTCAGTTGTTTACGCAAGCAGTCGAAGGCTGTCGATGGTTGTTCGGAAACAAGTATAAGGCGAACACCTAGTTTCGGTGGGTTGTAATACGACAGCCAGTGTTGGTGGATTGGGAATCAACCGAAGAACAAGGCTATGAATAATGTTTTCAGCTGCTTAAAACCGACTGACCTATAGATTCAGGGAGCAAAAAGATGCCATGGAGCCCCATCGCCCGGTAGAATGGGCATGTGTACACATGCTCAGGACACACGTCAACCGTCTGGGAGAACCCTGTCTTCTGCACCACGAACTCTAGTTTAGCTAACGTAGATTGACCTCACCTTGTCTGTTCCAAAACCATGAAAGGGCAGCCCTAGAGGTTGCGTCCCCAAGGGTCTCAAAACGAAGAAACATGCATACGCAGTCATTCGATAACGTTCAAAACGTGGCCATGACCTTCCAGGATTTCTAGCCGGTCACTGTGGTATGACACGTGGATCTCATTCCCGCACGAGCTACTTGGCTCGTCGGGACGTCCGTATGGCACGCTCCAGTATGTCTGAGTGGGGTGCCGGATTTTCATGTGGCCGTTAGCACCCCATCGACGGTTGTTCGCCACATTATCAAAATGGACTATCCCGGATCGTTCCTTGCAGCGCGCTTGCGGGTTAGGTACGACAAGTAGGCCGCAAGGTAAGAGACGACTCACGAGTTCATGCGATTCAGCACTTGTGGACCTTGCGTGAATCAGTGTGCTCGTGTGAAGATAAACAAATGTACGGCATTGGTCAAGCGCGTCATGCGATGTAATGTGCACCGGCTATTCGTAGAATGTCTGTGGTCAAAAATACATGTATTTTATGTGATTCGTGAGTCCTTCCTGATAGCTCAAAATACGAGTATCACAACATGACACCACAGTCAAACACCACCATCACTGCTCGCACTTGTACCGCCAACTTTTCCATAGCAATTTTCTAGTCGGTACCGTTCGCCCATCATTTTTCTGAATAGGCTAAACAGTTTATGCATGCGAGTAGACCACTCACTTCAGACATAGGCATGCATGACAAGACGTCCGTAACATATGTGATCAGGAAAATGAATAGCTTTAAAAAGCTTACCAAAAACGGTGTGCGTATATTCCATCGATATTTACTACATCCGGGGGGCATCGGAACAGCGCCAATTGCTTCCACTCTTCCAGTAGCACGGGTGCTTCACCCATCGCTGATGATTCTGAGCATGGCTCTAATTCAGGAAATCAATAAAAGAGCACTGTTGCTTCCTGTTTGTTGCTGCTTGGCTGGACTCGTCCCGGCTGTCATTTGACTGGCAAAGCAATAGCTTTAGACGATAAAAATGAAAAAAACAGGTTTTCGTCTGCTAAAACAAGAAAGAAAGAAAACTACTTACAAGGTTGCTGAAAACTGTTCGACAGCCCACGACCGGTTTCGTCCTTCTTGGGATTCATCAGGTAGGCGCAGTCCCCGAGTTTCCGTCAACCTTATGATCCACTTGAACACCATTAACAAGAGATTCGTTTGCGTCTACTGTGAAAACCAAATTGATTTGCAAATGAGTGTATTTCTTGAAGAAAGGTTGTGGAAAAAACAGATGTAATGGCCCGGTACCCTAAGATACTCATGGATTACATCTCTCTTGTTACTGTGCGAGTACAGTACTGGATACCAGATTAACCAGCCCATAATCTCGTAAGTTCACTCACATCAGCCCATGATATCTGATTACCCTGACCACACCACCAATATGCGTGCCTATATCGGTTTTTACTGGATCACCCGTACTTTAATGTTGCATGTCAGCAAACACAACCCTTGGTCACTAGTCTACTGAGGTCGAATCGTTCCCTATCCTATTCCATATAATCACTTGTTGTCATCACCCTAATCGCCACAGACGTCAAGTTTTTCTTTCCATGTAATACAGATTATCCCATTTAATGCCCCCTCAAACTCACCATGCTGTACTAGTTACATCCCATCACATCATCTTCCCAAGCTTTAAGCTACGGCAATACCCGGCTTGAATGACTTGGTTGGCTGCTTTCCACTCCACCTGGCCTATGAACTACAACCATAAGACCCCCAAACGGGCCAAAGAACCTGTGATCATATGACGGCTTCGATCCACCTTGTTTCCTCGGCCAGATAGAAAAAAATCTTGCTGCTCAATGAACCGCCCATCCCAGCTTCATGACCCTAAATAAGACGTCTCCTACGGGGCTTTCAAGAAACGACGTATGTCAGGTCAATGATGGCAACCCGCCACTATACCCCGTTTGATAGTACACTTCCGCTCCTGCCGTACCCTCTCCCCACTCGTCCCAATAATTGCAAATACAAATGAGCTACCCACATGACCCCAGCTGCCCCATCACATGTTCATTCCATTCTGCTGGTTTTTTCGTTTGAATTTAACCATTTCTCGTGTGCTGCCATCATCTCACTCCTCTAAATAACTGTTATGCGGACGAAAAAACAAAGCGAAAGAAGGCAAAAACAAGAGGTTTCCTGCCTGACACATGACTAGAAAGGTGTAAAGCCGAAAATGAGGAACCGGAACATCAGATCAGATGAAACAGCAGAGCTGGCGTCTTCCAGCGGGCCATGTTGAACTTAAGCCTAAAACCACCGCTAAGGCCTCATGGCCTTCGACTGTTGATCTCATGACCAGGGTCACAAAAAGAGTAAAAGGGTTGGTGAAGTAGGGGAGTAGCGGGGCGGATAAGCGTTAACAGGAATCACAGAAACATGTAGTACAGCGAATTCGTGGAGACACCGGGGTCGCTGTTGTGAAGCCGGGGATAATAGTTCATTAGAATATAAAAACGATAGCAACACGCGAGCCGGAACATGAACTGCATAGAAAGTTATTCAATTTTGTGGGATTGCAGCACAAGCGCTTCCGGTCTCCTGAAGTTTAACCAGAACTGAAAGCATACCATATGCCACAAAAACTAACTATTCGACACCGACTCAACAGAGCTGGTCGAAACTTCCGGCGGTGGGTACATAAGACGTTAATGTTAGGGATATCGCCGAATTCATTAACCACTAACTACCGCATTTCATACGACGGCGTTTTACATTTCTTTACGGCTCCTTTACGATTGGTCGTTGATTGTCGAGAGATGATCGTACAAAAATTAGAATCTTTATAGTTGTGGTCAAGGTGATAAGAGGTAACTGAGAGATTGCTCCACTACCCTTTAGACAACATCGAATTTAACATCTGGTTCTGCGCGTACTGTTAATTATTAGAAAACACGTCAGGCCTACTAGACTATCTGCTTGTCTTTCAGACCGCCATCTGCATTTTTGGTACAACCATTCGTAACGGAGAACAGTGTCGGTCTTTTGATTACTAGATGACCTCACAAATACCATGAAGTTATCACTTATTCATAACTTTCTCACCACAAAGGATGGAAAAGATACCTCCCGGAATTTCTCAAGAAACACACGCGAAACCGCATTTGAAGCACTAGCACAGCAAGCACAAAGTCAAACGCGCGCAAAAATTTTACAGGGGGATTAATTAAAACAATTACAAAAACCTGGCATAGATGTGCGTGATTTTTGGCTTCAGCACACATACAAATAAATTCAACTTTCGGCGTAAAAGCTTTGTTCCACTCGCCCAGGTCTTGCAGATAAGGGTATTGTGTGTCTAAGGTGCAGATTTAAAAAGCGGATTGAGGTCATCGTTGAGATGACCGCTGGATCACGTGCTATCTATCCAAAGAATGCTGAGCAACGTCGCCGATGGATGACTGAGACAGCCAAATTGTATCTCAAGAAGAGCAGCAACAAACCACTCAGGAGCTGCCAAAACGTAAGTGATTCTTCGTGCTTGGCGATGACCCAAAAATTAGCATCCAGCGTCGACGACACATTGTGGACAGTATGTTTGTCACTACGTGACGCAATTTGACGGGGAGAATATTGCACCACGCACAAGGAACAAATATATTGGTAGTAGCCAGAGACGATCCGGCTTTTATACAAGAGCTTCATGCGCTTAAATTTATTGTTCATTTTGGTTTTGGAAAAAGAAACAAATAACGGTTTCAAGCGCAGCGCAGGTTAATGTGTGAAAGTGCTGTAGTGTCAAATAGCGTCTGAATCATCGTATTGCTTATATTGAATTTCCGTCTTCTAATTTCTTTTAACAAGCGTTTCAGTATTCCGCGTCTGCCAGCAGGTTATCCATTTTTACTCTATTTGGCGGACACCCGTTTAAAGCGAATCGCCGCATTAGAAATCCGCGCTTCCAAAATGTGCGAAGCTATGAAGAATGAAGTTTTTGCCCCGCTTTGTATCCATACCATGTTCCACATTGCTGCTGCAAATGAGGAAACCATGGGTTTTGTGAGGAACTTATGGTGACACGAAAACGGACGCGGTGGATGCTACAGATGCGTGCGGCAAGTGTGTAGTAATTTGAATCAAATAACTGTGGGTATAATGTAAGAAGTGGCCAAAGGCAGTAGTTACGTCAATTAAAGTCGGTTCAAAATGGATGCCGTCTGCGCAGAGTTAGGCCGCCTTGAATTTTTTCTCGTGTAATGGAGGTGGCATCACACAGAAACTGGGTATTACTCTGTACAGTATTTCAAGTTCGGCCACTCAGCATGTCCTACCGTCGATAGCGAAGGCCACCAAAAACGTCCAAAACAAAACGTTTAGCAAACCAACCCGATTTGGAAAAAGATGGAGGCTTTTGGTCAACATCCAGAGTCGAATAAATCCATCATTGGGCTTCCGAAGCCACTCGATCATGGCACCAAAATTAAACCAGTTGTTGAGTAGCTCGGCTACCTCCAAGTCGATCTGTTCCAGCGTATCGCAGCCGAACCAGCGGGGCATCATAGAAAATCGGGCAGAGCAAACGGTTTTTCCGCAACAAGTGCGATTTTTTCCACTGGCAATCTTTGCGTTAGTTATTATTGATGACATACTGTCGCTTGGAGACGCACCAGATATCAAGCATCATAAGTCTCAGGCTAATGAGAGATGCCCACAGGAAAAACAACGATGTTGAACAAGTGCCATCGGAACCGGTGCCCCTGCAAAAACCGAACTCGAACTTCCGCGTTGAGCCGGTTCCCCCGAAGTTGTGTGACATGCACAAATGAGGGCCAACACACATCACTGCTTGAGAGTCGGAAAGGACGACTTAGGCTCCAGAATGCACCAAAACTAACCAACCTGGAAGATACAGACGCTCTGGCAACATTCCTTCCTCTCCAATGCTGAAACGCACAGGCCTTTGCTGCAGAGTTGGCTCATCCCTTAAAACACCATACATACAAACTTCTTAAGTAGCGTCAGATAATAGAGCCTCCCAATCAATATTTTTTCATCCTGAGAATGTGGCAGCATTGATTGCCTGGGGACGACATGGAGCTTCAAAACCCAAAGTCGGTGACCCAGGGATAATAGGAATGAAACAAAAGTGTTGCTAAAAGCACAAAACAATTAATTCTACTGCGTGTATTTCAATTTACAAAAACGCCGTTTCAGCGAACCAACGCACAAGGTTCGCGCCCCTGCCGGACGGCACGCTGCTGAAGTCTTATGTATTTGGCATGTATGTTAGACGCAGATTTATCTGCCTCGAAGTCCTACTCACTAAAAATTGTGCGGTTAAAGAAAGAGATGTGGCTCTGACCCTAAATACTCGCCTCACAAATGTCTCTCCTAATGCCTCTGGACAACAGTCACTATAAATCACTCAATTGGCCTTGGTGACTCCGTTCATGACATCGTCATTCTAGGGTCACGGATTCGCGGATTCACCTTGGTGACTTCATGACATCGTCATTCTAGGGTCACCGATTCGCGGATTCACGGATTGATACACAGGATCGAGGCTTTTGCCCAAGTTTCTTTCCCTGGTTTTTTTCTTGTCGGTCAGTGGCTGTCATTCACCT